ACACATGAAGTGACAGAAAAACACAGTCTCCCATCTGGGCTGGTCCCATAGATCTAGTGATTAGGGCAGGGCACAGTGCAACCATATGGCCATGATCAAGAACCCACTAATATCATCCAGAGTTAACTGGGAAGAGTTATAGCCCACTTAGTCTCCTAAGGATGATAAATCCCTCTGATTCTGTCTTTCCTCCCCAGCAGACATAGCAGATTTGTCTTTTTGCCTGCACAGATGAAGCTTTGCTGGTTAGAATACTAGTGATACACAAAAACGTGAATTTGATGCTTGTAGCTGTCAAAGACTGAATGAAGAAATTCCTTCTATGAAACAATTAAAGAGCCCCTTTAACCTCACATTTCTGCTACAAGTCCCAAATGAAGCCCCCCTCCTCCCAAGAGGCTTATGCTGGCAAGGGAACTCTGAAACCCGAGACCAAAATCCTGGCACACAGCACATGGGTACAACCCAGTAGCTGAAGATAAGAGATTTGACTCCAGCAGCAATGCAGGAAGAGTGTAACACTAATAGCTCTGTTATCTAGCCTGCCTCACAAATTAATTGAATGGGAAGAACCCACTTACATAACAAACAGGAAGAAAGTGAAAGGCAGAACTTCACATCATCTTGATCAGGCACCGCTGTTGCTATCTACATAGTTCTAATAGCTGCTGTGGCACAGGTCTATCGAGATAGGTTTTACAAATACTCATTTCCTAGCTGACAAGTCACTAAAAGTGAAGTCAATAACCCCCAATGGATCACTGCACAAAAATATTACATGTGCTAGAATAATCTTTTTCAATTTTTGATCATCAGAAACAGAAACCACATCCCAATATGTTGCCTGAGCTGCATCTTAAATTGAAAGATAGAGCCTCAAGTGGTACACAACAAAGTGGGTTTAATTGTAATGCCACAACTCTAGCAGCATTTTCATGACCAGTTTCCACTCATCTATTCTAACAAATCCTCCTTGCTTAGCCATAAGGAGTCTGGTCAGGTCCTGTGTAAGAATATATTTAAAAGGTTAGAGCTGTTGTCTAAAGCTATACTAATGCACCAGGGGCCAACCTTCCCCCCAGGGCAACATTTAACAAATAGCTCAGCATGACTGCTGGAATGGCTCTGTGTTTTGGAAGACACCATCTTTTGAATGAGATACACAAGTGGAAGATCTTCTTGACTACATAACATAAAACAATGGCCTGAAACTGTCAGGAGTAAGTGTCTACCTGCTCACAAAATGCTCATCAGTACAAATAATTATACATAATAATTAGCAATTGAATTTCTCTAACTTTTTTTAAAGCACTTTTACAACTCAGATATAGCACAAGAGGTACAGGACTATTTCTCTAGAATTCTCAAGTAACAACCAGTCTTAAAATAAGACCTACAGCAACAAGATACAACAGGGAAATGCTTGGTCAGTATTTGAACATAATCTCTAATGTTGTATCAACAGACTATGTGCGAGCAAGATTTTTATTTTTCCTGAAGCTGATAAATTTCTCTTAATACCTGGGTGCTGACTTTCAAGCTGTGCATGGAGCCCTCTTCTGGAGAAATTTGACATGCTTGTGAAATCTATTTTTTTTTCCCCCAACTGACTTAGTTGCAATCCAGCCAAAGATCACAGTTATTGTTAAAGCTATTAAATTTTTTTTTTCCTCATCTTGTAAGCTTCACTTGTAAATTTTATGTTGATTCACCTGTCTGCATGAAATGCATAACACACAAAAGCAAACCTATGAAGGACTTTTGTTTTAAAACAAATGTTTTGTATATAGGCCTTAGAAAATAGCCTTTGGGAAAAATATAAAAAATTCTGATTTGATATATTTAAAAATCTGTGTGTATTTACTGCTTACTGTACACTACATATAGTGAACTGCACAAGCTACCAAAGTACACTTGTTTTTTATTGTCACCTTCAGAGCAATAAAGCTGTGAAGTATAGATGTGCTTTGTAGTTTTAAAGGTTATCCTGAATTAAAGAATTACTTGAAACTTATCTTCATCGGCTATCCCAGCTAAGGCTCAGTCTTCCTCTTGGTAAAAACAGGACAAACAGTTGGCAGTAGTATAGACTAAATGTTCGCAAAAGAAAACAAAAGTATTTGTCCCCCAGCTGTTTACCACAACTTTTACAAATATACTTAATGGACTGAAAAAGTAACTCCACATACTGATTATTTTAATGCTTCAAAAGGCAATTTTGTTTATATTTGTTTATATTTAACAAATTTGTTAAATATAAACAAAATTTGTTTATATTTAACAAAATTTGGCAAAATTTGTTTATATTTAACAAATGCTGTTAATTTATATGAAGACCAAGAAAACACAAAAACAAAGTTACTATTTTAGAAATGAGCTTTTAATTGAAAATAAACCATTTTCAGTTCATGTTCTTACAAATATAAGAATTTCCTCAAACTTTTTTCTACACTGTAAACTCCACTATCTTCACTCTGAAATGAAGTTATTCCTATTTCTACTTCCACAGGAAGTATTGTGTTACTAGATTGCTGTTGCTTAGAAATCATTTTATCAAAATTGAGCTTTGCAGGTTCCACTAGCACTGTATTATAAGAGACATTATTGATACTGTTAAGGGAGAAAAAAGAAAACTCATGAAAAAAAATCCCAAAATGTGTTACAACCACTACACAGCCAGATGGCTGCATTTGTTTAATATGTTGTTTCTCACATTCTTCTGTTTACTTTTCCTGTCACATGAAAGTTGTGCATGTGGTGTGTCAGAGAAAAGCCAAACAGCATTTCAGTAATTCCCTGTCCCTTCTCTAGCATGCTGTCACCTTCAGCTCATGCTTTAACCCGCCAATACTCAACCACCTTATACCTGGAGATAGATCTATTTACACTTCCTTATTATAGTCCAATTCATTCCCCAATTCATTAACTCTTAGACATGATCTATGTCCAAGTAAACTTGGACACGTGTCAAATTACCAGGTAGACGTTGCCAAATAAAGCTATATGTGCTAATAAAGAAGGCGGTCTGCAGTTTAAGCACTTAATACAAAGCAATGCTAAAGCACCACAAGCTCAGCCCTGCAGTACACTCAAACTCCTCTCAGCCCAGCAAGAGAAGAAACTCTGAAGTATTGCTGAGAGTTATCAATAAAGTGCACAGTTGTTTTCTGAATGAGGTGTTCCGCACCTTGTCAGGTTTTAAGTAGTTACTGAAGTTAAAAAAACACCAGCTATGTGGTTCTAATAGGTCTTAGAAGTCTGTCCTCTGTCATATACATACTGCTTTTGCTACAAGCAATCACTAAAGAAAATCCAAACTCAAGCTGATTAATTCAGTGGTGTGCTAAAGAAGATGCTCAAAAAAGGACTGAAAACAGAGAAAGCCAAGCATATTGCAGTCCAGATGGTAGGTCTCAAGCCCAAGGGAAGGGAGCATCACCTCACTATATCCACAGGTTACCTCTACACTGTCTGTGCCCTCTCCCCTTAGCCTTGCCTCCCACTGGCAGCTCCACCAGCCCAGCTGCCTGCCCGGGCTGGATCTGAGCCCAGTTTGAGAACTTCCCCTCCCCTTTCGGCACCCCCAGCCCTCCGGAGAGTCCTTCAGCGCTCCCCAGGAGCGGCAGCTTGCCCAAGGGGCTGCAGGTGGTCTCAGCAGAGTTGGCAAACTGGCCAGCACTCCTACGCAGCCCGCAGTGGCTCAGCCCGAGCTGCTGGGGAGGCCCTGCAAGAAATGCTGTATATCTCCAGCACATTCTGCTCTGGCTCCGCAAACTCATCCTTCACTGGCGCATTCAGGCACTATACCTATGGCCCAAGGCAGCTACTTTCGTTTGGTACACTCCCTGAAGCAGGACTGTTATCCTGAACCCACCCAAATGCCTATGTGCTTGCTCACACTCCTATTCCATAACTTCAGCCACCCACGTTATTGCTTTTACTCCTTATCAGGGCAAGCCAGGATCCAAATATCCTAGCCTTGATTCACAGCATATATGCGTTCAGTTCACCTCACTGCTTCCCACTTACACATTCTTGATGCGTCTCCTCGCAGCAATAAAGCTCTCCCAACAGTGATCCCTCACGATGTGTCTCCTTATCACCCTATTTTGAAAAAGCAGACCAAATGCCTGCTGGAAATTGCAGTTACACAAACACGAGCGTGTGCACAGGCTCAGTGTCCCAAGCATTAGTTTGACACCCTAAAACCTACCAACCCCCTAAGGGTTAACAAAACCACCCGATCGCAAGTCAAAAAGAAATTAACTTTTTTCTCTACTCAGTGCACAGGATGCCAGTGCCACTGTCCCCAAATGCAAGGGTTTACGGAGCTCAAGACGAAGGAAGGAGGCATTTAAGCTGGACAACAACAAAGGATTTTGTAACCTCCTCAGAGCTTCCAAAAAGTGAGCCCTGTAACAGCAGCGAGAGGAGAGCAGCCAGCAGGCACTGAGCAGTCGGAGCTCAGCGAGCCCCTGGGCTGGGACAGACAGCAGCAGCAGCGCTTTAGCAGCGCTGTGTTTTTAAGGCTGGCTGTTTTTTCCTCTGCTCTCTGGCAGAGGGGGATCTATTACGCTTAATAAGAGAAAGGCTACACAGCAAGTCACTACCGGAGTATTACACATCTATCAAGAGAGTACGGGGAAGGGAACCTTTTGCAAGGTCTGATTTTATTTTTCCTTCATATCCCCCCCCCTTTTTCTTAAAAAAAAGCAATAAATAATGTGAGCTGCCTATAAGCCTACTACCCGGCAAAAGCAAGAGGCAAATCAAAGTTGCACATAAATGCCAAATATCACAGAGCAAATTTGTTGTAATTGTAAATCAAGGAACTACGTTCCTAGCAACTGGCTGATATCAGAGATCTTGCATCTTTCAACAGTAGTTCAAGCAATCTATAATTACTCAGAAATCAGACCTGAATTACAAATACTTTCAAATCCAAATGTACAAGAGAAGGAAGATGAAAGAAAACAAAGCAAAAAACACACATTTCTTACCTGGGACAGCAGAAAGGACAGAGTAAGTTGAGTTTTGTGCTGCATTTTGCCAGACTAGAAGGTACCAGAGGCTTTTTCATTCATGCACTCGGCTGCACTGAGCATATTTTCACTGTGAAACAGCCTTTGAGAAGAGACTCTGCCTTGAGAGCCAGCCAACTTCCCAAATAGATCAGCAGCATCATCACTAAAGCATTGGATAGAGTCTGATGACCAGAACCAATGGCTTTACAAGGATGATTTCTTCACAAAGCATCCCCATTTTGCATCACACACAGCGGGCAAGCACCTCTCACAAACACAGCACCTTTAGAAAGCTTTTTGGTTTGGTGTATTTGTGTGTTTAGTTTCAGGCTAACAAATCATGCCTTACAGATCTCAACAGTATTTTCCCTTTCAGAGAATGGAATTGCACAAAGAGAAATAAGAGCAACTCTGAGCACTGCTGCAGACATTCTCTTTATTAAAATGTTAATAAGGTATGTTTTATTTTCAATAAATCAAAAAAATGACCACTGCAGTTTTAGTTACTTCCAAGCCTTAGAAGAAGAACACCGTGAAATTTTTCAGTGCAGCAGAAATACAGATTATATTTTGTGTTTTCCCCTCAATCTCACAAATCACAATGAAGACAGATCAATTCTAGCCTGCAGAAAAAATCCATCATAAGGCAATAGATTTTATTAACTGCTCAGGTAATGGCAGAACTGGCTTTTGATTCAATGAACTTGAATCTAGGACGAAGTTTCAAAGATGCATGCCCTTCAGTTACGGAAACTTTTCCCGTTTGGAAGAGGTGACCTGATGTTTCAGGAGCCTGCTTTCTCTGGATTGGTTATGTTGCAATCCAGCGAGTAACACCAGGCAGATGGACCAAAGATTACAAATGAATTCCCCTGTCTGCACTTCCAGCTCCACCTCTCTTGCCACTCCCAATCATCTCAACAGTCCAGTCCTTTTTTGACTTGTTTTCTTGCAGTCACCAGGATTACTTAGCAGTACCCTTACCCCATTTTCAGTAGGGTCAGAAGTCTCCTCAGCTTTCACAACCGATGTTTTTCCCCTCACTTGCTCATCTAGCAGAGCTAGCTGCCACCACTTTCTGCTCTGCTCCACCACGGGTGGCTGCTGCACTGGTGGAGATCAGCAGCAACATGGGGAGGGGGAAGGCAGGCAGGCAGACAAAGGGATAGACATTCAAAGGAGCTGCCAACCACTTTGAGTTCCTCAGCATCAGCGGGAGCTTCCTGCTGTGAATAATGTTGCTTGATAGCTTCCCTAACAACTGCTAGTCCACTGCTCACAGCTCATGTCTTCCTTTACTTACATACTGGACCAAAATTGAGAGAAAACACTGTCCATCCAAGTCTAAGCCTTCATATGCAGCAACAGCTCTGCTCCAGTACTTTCATCACACATGAGTATAAACTAATACTCAAGATACATCCAAATACAAACCACACCCAGCAGGAACCACCAGTAGCAACTATAATGCTCTATATAACTGTAAAAGGTTCACCACATACATAAAAAAGCAATTAGGTTGCTTTCTTTTTCATCCTTTTTTCAGGCAGAAAGCCAGCTTAACAGGGTAAAAAAAAAAATCATAGGGCTCTTTATTATCAAAAATAAGTGAGTAACCATATCCCATTACTCCTTCAGGGTCCCAGCTTTCCACCAAGTCTAAATCCCAGCCTCAAGAGAAGAGCCTCAGAGGCTGATAAACAAGGCTGTGGGGTTTTCACAGAGCATAGCCTGCAGACAGCAGCACCAGCTGCACCACAGCACACATAGACCTCATAATGGGCACACTGGGATTTGGACAGTCTCTTAAAGCCCACAAGCATGGACCAAAGAGCTGAGCGAGTTACCAGACCAACCAGAAGTAAGGGGGGGGCTAAAAGAAACAAAGGCATATCTGCATCCTGTTCCACAACAAAGGGACTCATTAGAAAAAAAGTCAGGTCACAGGGTACATGATTCACTCCAAGATAAGGCTTGCAGTAACACAAGATTTGAGCCAATACAAGCAGTTCATTCCTGAACAAGACACAGCATGGCCAAGGGGCCTCCCCACCACCCCACCAAGCAGGCAGAGAAAGAAAGAGGAATCTGAGCTCTGCCCTGTGCCCCCCCAGCCACAGGGAGTGAAGCTTGGCCCCGCCGCCAGGGCTTCCCTCCTTGCCCCAGAGGGGCCAGGGCCTGCCCCCCTGATGGGCCCCACCCAGCCCTCCAGTCCCTCACAGCCAAAGGCAACTGCACACCACAGCCCTGCAGCCCCAGCAACAGCAACTACCCTTCATAAACAACAAAATAAAAGCATTGTTTGAACAAAAAAATAATTCATTGAAGTTTTACCTCCAGTCCCACACAGCCTCACCCTACTGCCTTAGCCCCCTCCTCACAGCTGCTCCTATTGCTCCTCTGGAGGGGTAATTAATCACTCCTGGCAGGACAATTAACCACTCCTTGCAGGAAAATTAGCCAACAAGCCAGCCACATCCTTCCCCAGCGGTCACCTGCGCAGGGTCTAGCCAACTTTGGAAAAGGGTCTTTTTGGCATTCCACAGGTGAGGTAAAATCCAGCAGGCAATGGCCCTGGATGCTGAGGGGGGTTAGCTGGGGTTAACTGGGGCCTCCAGCAGCGGGAGGTGGGCAGCTGCTGCAGATCAGCCCTTGAGGCCCAGGACAAGGGTCTGGCCCCTTGCAGGTGTGCTCCTAGCGGGACTATATCTCCTGGGGTCAGGAGCAGAGTCTCCTCTGCTAATTAGATTATTAATGAAAAGCTGGTAGGTTATTAATTAGAAATTAAGAGCTGGTTCCTCAGTCCTTCTCAGCCTTGGGTGAGGAGGTTCAAACTCTCTCAACCATCTCTGAGGAGCAGGCCTGGAGGCAAGGCTCCTGGTTACGGAGAAGCCGTAGAATTGAATTGAAGAAATTTTGCTGCACAAATGAAACATGAAGTTGTGAGGCCATGGAATGACAGTGACAGCAATGACAGCCTCAGGTTTAGGGCACAGTCAGAGGAGAGGCTCCATGGTTCAGGCCTGCGCTTTAGGGCAAGCCGTGCTTCTCTGACCTGTTGCCAGCTGATGTAAAATGTGTGGTAAATTTAGGCAATGACTGAGAGGGCTCTTGATTTGTGAACAAAGATCCTGCTGAGACCTCTTCTATAGCCAAGCCTACATTAACTGATGGATGTAACACACCCTGCAGTCTTTAGATGCAAGATGCCATCGTCTTCACTGCTAAAATCTTGAGCAGCTTGACACCTCAGCTCACTCTCCGTGACATACTCTGGCAGTAGAGGCCAATGCTGAGCTGAGGCTAATATGAACAGTATTAATTGCCTGCAATGCATAAGGTGTTGTGAGAGATAGACTCATTAGCAGACGAAGGAGTGACTGTATGCTGCCAGAAATGCCTTTTGACCTTCAGAAGATTTGCCCTGTCTATTTCGTAAAAGCTGAGGATTAGCTGCTATGAATCTATCAGAACAAGGGAAGTTTAATTTCATATTAAAGGGAGTCACATAAGAAACTTGGATGCAAGAGAGAGGGACTAATTTCCCCTGCCATAGTACTGGCAATCTATATGCTCTTGACTGCTACACCACACTGCACTTTCTGACTCCTTCAAGCCTGCAAAATGGTTTTAGTACTGGGCAGCAACTGGAGGCGTGTAAGCTTGAGTGGCATGTCTCTAGGACAGAAAGGACAAAAAGAGCACATCTGCAATATGGGAGCATAATACAGTCTAAGACAACTCAATCTTCATCAGATCAGCATCTGCCCCTAAAGGACAGGTATAGTTGAATTTCTTTTAGGGCAGATGGACCAAGCGGTGGAACAGAAATTCAGTCAAGCAAACTAATCCAAATAGGAAGTTTAGTTGCAGTGTATTTGATACTGCCCTTGTTATTAGGAAAAAAATGTGCTGGTTAGGACTTTCTGAAATCCTACCGTGTTCACTCCAAGAATGGCCAGAGAACAGAAGAAAGTGAGCCTTACCTGCTGTGTCCATCAGGTTTGGCACATCACCCTCCCGCTATGCCTCCAGAGCCACCACCACTTCCTGAGGAAAAGAAGTTGTAGTAAATGTACCTGGCTAGATCTGGAACCCGTAGCAGGAGTGAAATCCCGTCTTCCTGCCTTGAGGCTCTCCAGCAGGAAGAAATGAAGCAACTGGCTGCAATAATGTTTTATTCTGGAGGATGGAGATTTGGAAGACTGCAATAGAGTTGATTTAGTGAAGAGTTAAGTAATGTGTTTCCAAGCACTGTGGTTTTCTGCTTGGCAGTTCTGCCAAAATAGGTTTGGGTAGGGATTCTCAGTCTTAGTGCAGCTGAAGTTTCTTTAAGAAAGATTCAGAAAAACACCAAAAGAAGAGTTTTGCAGTTTGAAAGTGAGCCCACAGCTTTTCATTATGTACCCAACCCAGTACCTCCATAATACCTCAAGCTTCTACCAGTATTTCTTACGCTAGGGGCTTATTGGCAACAGAAAGTTTGGCATTAGTGCAGCTTTCTCTAAAACCTATGGAACTGCTGAATGCTTTGTCTACTGTTTTCCTACATCCCAGCCCAAGCTCTAGGATAATAAATGGGGTTTGTTTTCTTACTTGCTAACAGGCAAGTCACAGGCAACTAGAACAAACTGATACTTCAGTGAAAAGAAATAGGGTGTGTTTCATTGTCAGAAGAGAACAAAACAGTTGGTGAGTCAAACAGGAATCTTACATTTTAGAAAAACACTTGAGAGACTATCACACCCTTTTCTCTCCAAATAATAATAATAATAATCCCTGTTTATCATGACCATGGGAGCCATTTCTTCAATTCTTAAAGCAAAACACCCGATTACTTGTTCATTTTGCATCCCTGAGCCTTTTAAGCATAAACAAAACATGTGTTCAACTTCTAAAACTGAGCTATTGTAAAGCATTCTAGAGTAACAATTTGCAGTTCTGTACATCTAATCTTCTAATCTTTACTTGGACCGGGAGCAAGCTGTTCCTTAATTCACCCTTCATCTGAACTAAACTGGGGAAGAAGTGAGAAGAGCTTTAGGAATGTCGTG